ATTGTTTTAGTGTCTGATAGTTCATTTCTGGTGGACCAATCTCCAACAGGAAACAAACAAACAAAAAAAATGGTGGTGACGGAACAGTAGACCAATGCTGAAGCTTCCTGAATGTTTTAAAGGAAAAAGATCACCCTGATGCATGACTCCAGCCTCTGTGAGAATGTTTTGTTTATGCTGATACGCTTTAATATGGGCAGGCGCCACGGAGACACCCCCACCGGAACCGGAACCGCAGTGTAGGGCCTGGCAGCCAGGCCTGTCCCAGTGCCTGGGCATCAGGCGCCTCCCTGGGGACGGAGCTGATCTCAGGGCAGATTTGGGGGCAGCCGGGGACCCGCCTTGCTCTCGCTGGGCAGGCATGAGGGCCGTGGGGGGATCCTAGGCCATGGGCAAGGTGGTGAAGACCTGAGTGGGGCTGAGATGGGGTCTTAGGCTGTGGGCGTTAGAGGGAGGCCCAGGGGACCAGGCAGGGACATCAAAGCTTGTGGGTGCCCTCGGTGCCCTGACAGAGTCTGTGCCTCCAGGGGAGCTTTGTAAAGTGGAAACAGGCCTGGACGGTGTTGTTGCCTCTGGCGCCATGAGCGTAACGCCAGGATTGCTCCGTTTCAGCTTCGCCTTTGGCAATGAGTAAAGTGAAAACCGCTGAGTGCAACCTGCATGTGTGAGGTAGGGATGAAGACACGTCTGATCATCAGAGTGTGGCAAGGCTTGGAAAACTGGAGATTTCTTTATTTTAACTGCGATGTTAAAAATATTGAGGTGGAAGTTCAGATATAGTGTGTGTGGTCTGAGTGACCTTTTCAGCTGTGGTTGTGCATGTGCATATTCTTAACTTCTAGAAGCAGCGCTGACTCCATCTCAAAATATAACGGATGGGTAGTCAACCACAGAAGCTCAATTTTGAGGTCAGTGCCTTGGGCTTCACAATTAATTTTGTATTTTGAAGCTTTAAAACCAAACTTAAACATAATGATTTGTACTACTTTGGCTGCTGCCAAATTCTGTAATGACTGTTGTTCAACAAGCACAATTATCTTTTGTTTTGGATTTTTAAAAACTTAGAAATCTAATGCAACTGTCTCTCTGATGTTCTCCTTGCATGTTCAGGAGCGTAGAGAGTATGTCAAAGACAATTTGAAAACTTAGCTTGGGTCTTTAAAACTATGAAAACTTTGAGAATCTCTTGAGCTCAATGTTTTGGAAGCTTTTCACTCACAAAAGGAAATAAGAATACCTCTTCTCCATATTCAGCATTAAAACCATGTATTTTAAGAAGAGGTTGTAAATGAAAATTAGTCAGACAATGGCATTTTAATAATCTGGTGAGGTTAGCATCACATTAGTAAGAGTATTTTAGAAGTCACATTATCTGTGGGCAATGTGGTCTCAAGAGATTGGTTGTGAATATGTTAGAGGGCTTGTGGGATTTATGGATTCATTTCATGGTGGTTGTTTGCTTATTTTTGTTTGTTTTGTTGGTCGGTTTGTTTGTTTGTTTTCTTTCCAGGCTTCCTGTTCTGCTTTTGAGTTAACGGATTTGCTAATTCCCTTCACAATCCACCTCTGTTCCCCCTTACAGTTTTTTATTGTGCTGTTCAAAAATTTAGGGATTATGGACTGTAGTTTTTTTTTTTTTTTAAAAAAAGAAAGTTAAATGTAGAAAGTAGTATTGTTTGTATGCATGGAAAGTGTTACGGTTAAAATGCGCTTCACTGGTAGCTAGGTGGATCTCTCTTCTGTATTCCATGCAGACAATAAAGAAGAGAGAAAGACACACATTGTGTTTCAGTTTCTTTTGATATATGATCTCAAACTAGCACTGTGTTTTACTTGCCTTTGTGAAATGCCTGAATTTTAAGGAAAAACGTGGAAATAGCAGGGCAGAATTCCTTATAAAATGCTTCATCCTGCTTTCAGCCTGATGCTTGGTGAAAACGTAAAATTGAAGTCCATGCAGCTGTACCTGATGTTTGTTCCTCTCAGCTGCAGTAACATTAACCTCTTCTATCACTTGGTACTACCTTTATGATAGAGATCCTGCAGTTATTAAAGCTAGAACCCATGAGAAAGACCCCATCAGGTTTTGTAATCAGCAGTTGGTCATGATCTTCCAACTCATCCTTCTGCTTTGTAGCAGAAAGATGCTGTTGTTGATCTAAGATCGTCTAGACAACAGCAAGCATCCTTGAGGATGCCTTCTCTGGTTGTCAGCTCATGAAAGAACTGTGACTGCTGGAGGTGGGGGTGGTGGTGTTTTTAACCTCTTGAAGCTGCCAGAATTACAATTTTTTCAGAACTTCAGGTTTGCCCTCCCTGTTTTTTTCTGCTTTGTAAGCTGTCCCGAAGTTCCTGAAAGAGACAGCTGAAAGCGTTTCGTGGTGGCCTTTTCTAAAGGGTCCGAAGATTTCGGGGGCTGGGGGGCAGAGGGGGTGGATTTGTGCATGTGTGTGTGTGGTGTGTGTGTTGTTTTTCCTCTCTTCTACACAATGGAGCTTTCAGAGAACCTCTCTTAAAAGGCATAGCTACAGCCTTTGTGTTGAAGGGTGTGTCTGCTGGCAGGGTTTGCTGATGCAGACAGGCTGGCTGGTGATTAACAAAGGTCATTAGACTTTGGAATCTGGCAGGGGAGTGGGGTGGTGTGTCTTCTGCGCTGAGCAGGAGGGCTCCCCAGGGACAGGGCAGGCTGGAGGCCCCCCGCCTGCCTCCCCCCAACCCCGCCTCCTCCTGGGAGGCTCGGCTCTGTGTTGCCTCCTCTGTCTGTAGGACAGCTTGGACCAGTGTCTTGATGCTGTAATGCTGTGTTTCTGGATTGAATCATCACATTTGTCATCCATGGGACAGGGGAACCAACCCTAGGAGATGCTTGCCGGCGATCTGCTCAGGGAGAGAAGGTGCTGCTTGGGCAGTGCAGGGGGACACCAGTGACATGGTTTGGGGTGCAAGTCACGCAGGAGAAGGGGAGGTGTGTTCTGGGGATGCTGATTTTTCAAGCGTGACCCAAGAAGGAGGAGGAAAGAAAAAAGAAAGGGAAAAAAAAAAAAAAAAAAAAAGGAAAAACCCTGGTGTGCTGGAGATGAAGCTGAGATAAGTGAGGCCATGTTGTGCACGGGCGAGAAGCTCTGAGCCTCTCAGTGCAGGAGTTGTCTGAGCTAAAATGGCTGCTCCCAAAGCTCAGAGGACTAGGGCAGCTTAGTGAGTCTTAAAGCTTCAGTGACGCAGGGGCTCATATCTCTTGAAAGTGTGATAAACACATTCAGCAGAGCTGTGGCTTGTTTGGCTGAGATGAAAGGACTAAGCTTGGGGGATGGGTAGTGAAAACTGGATGATCTGCTTTTCTGTGAAGTGCTCTAAATGCAGGAGTCGTCTGCTCCATGGAAAAATTTGTTTTCAGGTCTAATGGACTGTGCTAAAGGAGACGTGGGGTGGGGCTTCACTCACTGCTGTAATTTGATCCAGAGCAGATAGCAACCTCTTCCACACAATTTGGTCTGGTGCTTGCACATAAAAGCTTGAGTATCTCGATTATTGTAACTTTGTTAGCCGAAAAGAAGCTGGTACAGCGTTCATTTTCTTTATTGGTGGTGGGAGGGAGAGAGGGGGGTTGGAAGAGAAAGGACACAGTGCAGCCTGCAAAATAATGTAGGTAAATATGTGGAGAGCCTGTGTGCTCAGACTGTCCAGAATTTGACTTGCTAGAAGTTAATTTTAGCAGGCTATCAGAAGAAGCATTCTTTTATGTAATGCTTCTGTAGTGTCCTCTCTAATTTCATTGCACTAATGTTTTGGAGCATTCTCCTCACTGCAGAAGGAGCTTTGTACTTTATGTGCAAAAAACATGGAATTTTCAGCTTTCGAGGCAGCCCTTGTATACTGGACCTCTGGACTGCCCAGATTATCCCTGTACCAGCACAGCATGTGGAAACTTAAAGAAGTAATTCTTTCATTAATATAGAAAAGTTGCTCTTGTGTCTAAATACTGCATGAAGTAGGACAGTCTAAGGCTTTTGTCTTGCTTGTGTTTTGTGTCTCCTCTCTTTCATGGCAATGTATAAATATACAACCTCTGAAGCAGGGTTAGTTGGTCACAAACCAAACTTCCATAATTCACATTGCCGTATTTTGTGTTATTTGGTACTTCAAGATATGTAGAGCATTTGGATAAATCAAAGAAGCCATGATGTTTCTGAGGAAAGTCTTTGTTACTCATACTTCTGTTGTACTTTTGCAAAATTCCTATTTCCTTTGCTGTCTTTCCCATCCTCCAGTTCTTGCCTTCCCAAAAGACTGCTATCTTGCAAAGGCTGTGTCCCCAGAACAGACTCAAATTAAGCAGTAAACATTTTAACAAAGAATGGAGATGCCCTTGCAAGGCATGGTGGAATTAAGGTAGAACAAACCATACTACTTTGAGTGCATGTGGCTGCATCTCAACTTGCAGTGTTGTCTAGGTTTTTCATCAACCTCACAACTGAGAGGATATTGAGAAGAAAGGCAGATTTTTTTTTCCTGTAGAGGCTTTTAATCTGTGGCGGATAAAGCAGGCAATACTTTTCAACTTCCAAGAAATGTTAGTGAGATTCACAGAGGCAGAAGCCATTGTCTTCTGATCGTAAAATAGAGTACACAGCTGTTTGGGAGTAATGTGCTATTTCTCTAGAATACTGTTTGTGGTCTTTGAACAAGACAAACTTCTGAACAACAGCCTTGTCCTATATAATGGAAAAGTCAAGAGGACAAAGTCCACAGAGTCAGTAGTCATCTGTCAGAACGTTGACTGTAGAGTTGAGTCAGCAACTTGTGAGCTACCTAGGTAGGAATTCATGTGAATCCAAACTGAGGCATCTTCATATAGCAAGCACAGGTTGAGTTTTACACTGCAGTAAATGGAGTATCTGGAAATGACTGTCTTTATAAGCGTGATATTACCTGTTTCAGAATTTGTTAAAATGGCATTGCTCTAAAACCTCTCTCTTCTTCTCCCTCTCTTTTTCTTGCAGAATTTTCTCATGTGAAAGATCGTTCTTGAACCATGGAGGTGTTGCAGTGTGATGGCTGCGATTTTCGAGCTCCATCGTATGAAGACCTTAAAGCTCATATTCAGGATGTTCACACTGCTTTCCTGCAGCCAACCGATGTCTCAGAGGAAAGCCCTAGCCAGCCAAGATCTGGTTCCATGAATGCTAGCAACCAGACTGAGGTTGAGTTTTCTTCTGTAAAGGATGAATTTACGATTGCAGATGAAATAGCAGGTAAATCTCAGCTCTAACCACCAATTTCACATGTGGCTTATTTTAGTACATATTAGTTAATACTTTTAATGTGATTGTAAAAACTCAATTATCCTTACTGCTGTGACACCAAAGCAGATATCTAGCTTCAGCCATATTGATTCTGACCACAGCTCTTCCTGTAAATAGAAATGTGGAGGGTGGTTTTATTAGCCGCTTTTAGTGTATTTCTTCATAATGCTTTTTGTTTGTCAGATTTTCATGGTTCTTCACCACTGTGAACCACCTCAAAATGTTCAACCTTATTAGTGTACTAGCTTTCTTTTTCCCCAAAGAAGATTATTTTGGAAATGGTCCATCCGAAAGTTTACACCATAGCATGTATATGTCTATGTTATGGACGATGGCCATTTTTCTGAAAGTCGCCAGATATATAGATACGTGTAGAGAGTGTACTCTCTACAGAGAGTGTACTTAAGTCATAAGTAAGTGAGAGAACCCTGCTGTGATTGATAGTTGTTCAAGATGCAGTTGTGTTCTTACGCGTATAGGGTGGGTGGAGAAAAAGCCTCAATATTTGATTTTATTTATTTATATATTCACCTTAATTCTCATTTTAGGGCAAAATGCAACAAGTCAGATGGGGACTGGAAGTTACTATAGCCAGAGCCAGACTTTCTATGGTCAGCATATGGCTCCAAATCCTAAACCAACCAACAAATTTTTCCAGTGCAAGTTCTGTGTGCGCTACTTCCGTTCCAAAAACCTCCTCATAGAGCACACACGCAAAGTTCATGGAACACAGGCTGGGGGGAGCTCAGTGGGGCCACCAACCGCTAGTTCCTTAAATTACAACATCATGATGCATGAAGGGTTTGGCAAAGTTTTCAGTTGCCAGTTCTGCACCTACAAGTCACCCAGGCGTGCAAGGATTATTAAGCACCAGAAAATGTATCACAAAAACAACCTGAAAGAGAGTTCAACTCCCCCTACAGCTGCCACTGCTATATCTGAATCAACATCTGCTTCTGTGCCAGTGCAGGAACCCTGCAAGGAGCTGCCTGCAGAGGTGGTGGAGCGGAGCATTTTGGAGTCCATGGTCAAGCCCCTGACAAAGTCGAGGGGCAACTTTTGCTGTGAATGGTGCAGTTACCAGACACCTCGAAGGGAGCGCTGGTGTGACCACATGATGAAAAAGCACCGCAGTATGGTAAAAATACTGTCAAGCCTGAGGCAGCAACAAGAAGGAACCAGTGCAACTGATGTACAGAACAAGAGTGCCCAGAATGCCTCCCCAAACTCTAACTATATGTCCATGAATACAACAGGACGTGAGATGTCGAACGCTAATGTCTCAAACTTTAGAAGCTCTATGGGCAATTCCCTTATCAGGCCCAACTCTTCTACATCTTCCAAGTTTTCTTCCGTGTCTTATCCTCAAATGAAGCCTAAGTCACCTCACAACTCGGGCATGGTTAATTTGTCTGACAGATCCCGCTATGGAATTGCTGATATGACAAATTCTTCTGCTGACCTGGAAACAAACAGTATGCTAAATGACTCCAGCTCAGATGAAGAGCTAAATGAAATGGACAGCGAGAATGGCTTGAACTCCATGGATCACCAGACCACAGGAATGTCTGCAGAGCAGCTGATGGGATCTGATGGCAACAAGCTCCTGGAAACAAAGGGGATCCCCTTTAGAAGATATATGAACAGGTTCCAGTGTCCTTTTTGTCCTTTCCTGACTATGCACCGCCGAAGCATTTCCCGTCACATTGAGAACATCCACCTGTCTGGAAAGACGGCTGTGTACAAGTGTGACGAATGCCCTTTCACTTGCAAGAGTTCATTAAAGCTTGGCGCCCACAAGCAATGTCATACAGGTACAACATCAGACTGGGACACTGTGAACTCTCAGACTGAAAGCATCGCCTCTTCTTTGAATGACAGTGCTGTGTCTTATGAGAGTGGAAATATAAATGGCAGGAAGTCAGCTGGGATGATGGAGCCAGTGCAGCAGCAGCAGCAGCAGCAACAACAACAACAGCAGCAATCACCCCAGCCCCATTCACAGCATCCATATAAGTGCACAATGTGCAACTATTCCACCACAACTTTGAAAGGCCTCAGAGTTCATCAGCAGCACAAGCACTCATTCTGTGACAACCTGCCGAAATATGATGGACCACCATCCAACACACCACAAGAGAGCGAGGCAGATGCTCACACTTCTGCCAGCACAGTGAAGAAGAGCCAGACCTCGATCCTTGGGCTGTCATCTAAAAATAACTTTGTTGCAAAGGCCCCTCGGAAGGTGTCAAATGATTTCCCTTTAGATCTGTCACCAGTGAAAAAGAGAACTAGGATTGACGAAATAGCGAGCAACCTGCAGAGCAAAATCAACCAAAACAAACAGCAAGAAGATGCTGTGATTAATGTAGAGGATGATGAGGAAGAGGAGGAAGACAATGAGGTGGAGATAGAAGTTGAGTTAGACAGAGAAGAAGAGCAAACAGAACCAATGATAGATGTTTCCAGTTCTTATGCACCACAGCAAATGTGGGGAAGAGAGGCTAATGATTCCCAGAAGGAGGCAAACTTCAGAAGCTTGCAGCATGATTACAATTCTGCCAATGGAGCAGAGATTGAGCTCACTTTATCAGAAGATGAGGAAGACTATTATTCTTCTGTCAGCATGAAAGAACATCAGAGCCCTAATGCCTCTGTTCTGGGGGGCCAGTCAAACATGTATGGTACTGATCAGAACAATGAAAATGCAGAGTTTAATGACTCTGGCAGGCTTTACTATTGTAAACACTGTGATTTCAGCAACAAATCTGCCCGGAGCGTTAGCACCCACTACCAGCGAATGCACCCCTATATTAAATTCAGCTTTAGATATATCCTGGATCCCAATGATCACAGTGCAGTATACCGGTGTCTTGAGTGCTATATTGACTATACAAACTTTGAAGACCTGCAGCAGCATTATGGAGAGCATCATCCTGAAGCTATGAATGTACTGAACTTTGATCATTCTGATCTGATCTACCGCTGTCGCTTCTGCTCTTACACAAGCCCGAATGTTAGAAGTCTAATGCCACATTACCAAAGAATGCATCCCACCGTGAAAATTAACAATGCAATGATATTTTCAAGCTATGTTGTTGAGCAGCAAGAAGGGCTGAACACAGAGTCTCAGACACTGAGAGAGATCTTGAATTCTGCTCCAAAAACTATGGCAACCTCCACCCCCGTGGCTCGCGGGGCTGGTGTGCCAGCTGGCTTTAACAAAAGTGCCGCCAAGAGTTTTAGCCCTGAATGTGAAAATCAGAAGGATCCTTCCGTCAATACTGTGGTTGTTTATGACTGTGACGTGTGTTCATTTGCAAGCCCTAACATGCATTCAGTTTTGGTTCATTACCAGAAAAAGCACCCCGAAGAAAAAGCATCATATTTCAGAATTCAGAAGACCATGCGTGTCGTCTCTGTTGATAGGGGCTCTGCCCTGGCTCAGATGTCTTTTGAGATGGGGACACCTGTCTCCCCAAAACTGTCCAACTTGGCTTCTCAGCCTCCACCTCCCCCACCACCACCCCCAGACCTTGCTACTGAACTCTACTACTGCAAACACTGTTCATACAGCAACCGCTCAGTTGTTGGAGTGCTTGTCCACTACCAGAAGAGGCACCCAGAGATAAAGGTCACGGCCAAATATATCAGACAGGCACCTCCCACTGCAGCAATGATGAGGGCTGGTGAGCTGCCACCTGGTATTCAGAGGCCACCAGTGTCAATGCAGCAGTTGAGCCGAGGTGGTTCTGAGACCTCTGTGAATCCTCCTGAGAATGAAATGTTTTTCTGCCAGCACTGTGATTATGGAAACAGGACCGTGAAAGGTGTGCTCATTCATTATCAAAAGAAGCATCGTGACTTCAAAGCTAATGCAGATGTGATTAGACAGCATACAGCCACCATTAGAAGCCTTTGTGATCGCAGCCAGAAGAAGTCGACTGGCAACGTGCCTGCTCACACCTCTAGCACTGAACGGGACAAGTCAAAGCTGAGAGCCCTCAAGTGCAGGCAGTGTAGCTATACTTCACCTTACTTCTATGCATTGAGGAAGCATATCAAGAAAGATCACCCAACCCTGAAAGCTACAGTCACATCCATTCTCAGATGGGCATTTTTGGATGGCTTGATAGAGGCTGGTTATCACTGTGAATGGTGCATTTATTCACACACAGAGCCAAGTGGTTTGCTTGTGCATTACCAAAGGAGGCATCCTGAGCATTACGTTGATTATACTTACATGGCAACTAAACTCTGGGCAGGTCCTGATCCTTCCCCTCCTGCCCTTGTGATGCCAACAGAGGCAAAGTCCTATAAATGCAGAGATTGCATTTTTGAAGCATCTTCCATTTGGGATATTACTAATCACTACCAAGCTTTTCACCCTTGGGCCATGAATGGGGATGAATCTGTGCTGTTAGATATCATTAAGGAGAAAGATGCTGCTGAGAAGTCTGGCACACAGCCTGATGAATCTGGGATCAGGATGGATTCTGAAGACCAGATAACAACGTCACAGATGGACCAGGATACAGAGTGTTCAGAGGATCCCAGCCTTTCCCAGGAGAAAACGGTGCAGCTGTCTTCTGCAAACCCTGCCATCTCCTCTACTCCATATCAGTGTACAGTTTGCCAGTCTGAATACAACAACTTGCATGGCCTTCTGACACATTATGGCAAAAAGCATCCTGGCATGAAAGTGAAAGCTGCAGATTTTGCTCAGGATATAGACATTAACCCAGGGGCTGTGTATAAGTGTAGACATTGCCCATACATTAACACACGCATTCATGGCGTTCTCACACACTACCAGAAGCGGCACCCATCAATAAAGGTCACTGCTGAAGACTTTGTGCATGATGTGGAGCAGTCAAATGATATTGCTCAGAATGATGTGGAAGAGACAAGCAGGATTTTCAAGCAAGGCTATGGTGCTTACAGGTGCAAGCTGTGCCCTTATACCCATGGTACACTGGAGAAGCTCAAAATTCACTATGAGAAATACCACAATCAACCTGAATTTGATGTTTTTGCCCAGTCACCACCAAAGGTGTCTGCCTCACTGGAGCCAGACATGGTGACTGAAATCAAGGCCTCTCCAGAAATTGCTGCTGAGGATGTTGGAGAAATCTCTGTTGCAGCACCTCATTTCTCCAGTTCTCATTTAGTGTCTCACACAGTTTTCCGGTGTCAGCTCTGCAAATATTTCTGCTCTACCCGGAAGGGGATAGCGAGGCACTACCGCATCAAACATAACAATGTACGGGCACAGCCAGAGGGTAAGAACAACCTCTTCAAATGTGCTTTATGTTCTTACACCAACCCTATCCGCAAAGGGCTTGCGGCACACTACCAGAAAAGACATGACATTGATGCTTACTACACTCACTGCTTAGCAGCCTCCAGGACAGTAAGCGACAAACCCAATAAAGTGATCATTCCATCTCCTCCCAAAGATGACACTCCTCAGTTGAGTGAGGAGCTGAGAAGGGCTGTAGAGAAGAAGAAATGCTCGCTTTGTTCCTTCCAGTCCTTCAGCAAAAAGGGTATTGTGTCCCACTACATGAAGCGTCACCCTGGTGTTTTCCCGAAGAAGCAGCATGCAAGCAAGCTAGGGGGTTACTTCACTGCCGTATATGCCGATGAGCATGAAAAGCCAACTCCAACTGAAGAGAAGAATGAATTTGAGAAGCCTGAGGTGGAGAGTGAGGCTCAGGAAATTGAGTGGCTTCCCTTCAGGTGCATAAAATGTTTCAAGCTGTCCTTCAGCACAGCAGAGCTGCTGTGCATGCATTACACTGACCACCACAGCAAGGATTTGAAGAGAGACTTTACCATACTGGGAAGTGGCACCCGCTCTCAGAATGCTGTCTACCAGTGCAAGCACTGTGATATGAAATTGCATAGCACGGCAGAGCTGACTGCACACTTGAATGGTCACAACGAGGAATTCCAGAAGCGTGCCAAACGTCAGGAGAGGAGGAAGCAGCTTCTGAGCAAGCAGAAATATGCAGATGGTGCTTTTGCAGATTTCAAACAAGAGAGGGTAAGGATCTGTGTGTCTGGTCTCTTTCCCTCTTCTCCCTGCCCTGCCAGGGGAAAGAAACAAAAACACTACCCTTCTGCACCCCAAGAGGCTGCCTATTACTAATGCCCACTTGCATGTTCTCTTTGACAGCCAAATGACCACAGGCTAATGAATGACTCAGTGTGTCAGTGAGCTCCATAAGTCAATTATACATTCTGCTTTAATTTCCTCATCCTTTCCTTCATCCTCCACCCCTCCCTAGGTTCCGTAGGAAGCCCTATCCTTTCCTACTGCTATTTTCTGTATCTCCTTCCCTTCCTCCCACCCTTCTGGAAGGCCATCTGTATCTGACAGTTTCTAGTTCTTGTGTTGCAAGGCTGCTATGTACTTTGTTGCATACTCTTCACAAAATGTCCAATCTCCTTTTTAAGAGTACCTCTGAGTAACGCATCAGTTTACTTCTCAAGCTCGTCTCTTCCAGTGTGTTCACTGATAAAGTGCTCAATATTAACATGACATGAATCTATCTGATGACTGAAGCTTTGGACTAGTGCACCATAACTGGAAGACCAAATTGTGTTCTTTTTCCTGCTCGCTCACTCCCTTCATTCTGCTTTGATTTGGCATATAGTTGCTGCAGAAAAGCCCCTGACAGCTGTTGGGGATGTGGTGGGGTCGTGAAAGAGCAGTTTCAGGCCAGATTGAATAGTCTTCTGGAGAACCACTGTTATGCAAGACTTGAAGGTTTCTCCTGCACAGATGTCTTGCCCACTTGTTCTAGAGGCAGTGATGGACATCAACAAAAATTGGTCTTACAGTCCTGCAAAACAGGACATGTGCCTATCAAACATAATTTCCCTTCAGCTGCAAAATCTGGCCTGCATTTCTAAAAATGAGATATCAAAGCCCAATTTAGCATACGAATTGATTTATGCTTGTGTACTCATAGGCTTTTGGGCACTTGGAAGATGTTTCAAAACTTAAGGAGCGGAAAGTGGTTGGCTACAAATGTAAATTCTGTGTGGAAGTCCATCCAACGCTTCGAGCCATCTGTAATCACCTCCGCAAGCATGTCCAGTATGGAAATGTCTCTTCTGTGTCAGCTACAGTAAAGGTGAGAATTTTAAAACTGTAATTAAACCTTTTAACATTGTTTAAAATGAAGGACTCATTGAAAACCTGCTCTTGTGAAGTTGAATGGATTTTGATCTGGGTGTTCCAGTTCAGTGTAATGTTTCAGTCATCTAAACATTAAGTTTCTGCAGTGTATTTGGTTTATTTTAAGATGTTTTAACTTTTTTCCACTCTTGATCTAGGGGCACGAAGACTATTTAATTCTCATTTCTTCTCAGCCACAAAGGAATTGATGTCGTTGATGACCGAAAGACTTGGTTTATGAGCAGGAGGCTTTCTCTCAGCTATTCTGGGATACATTTCTGCTTAGTTAAAACATAAAAGACCTGCTGTCCTGTTTTGTTTGTTTTTGTTTCTTCTTTTAAGAAGAGTAAGTGTGCATTCAAATGGGTGAATTGTGAACTTGCTTATGGTATACCTTTGCACATGAAATTTTGGGTCCAGAGGAGGGCCACGAAGATGATCAGTGGGCTGGAGCACCTCTCCTATGAAGACAGGCTGAGAGACCTGGGGATGTTCAGCCTGAAGAAGAGAAGGCTCCGGGGAGACCTCATTGCAGCTTTTCAATAGCTAAAGGGGGCTTATAAAAAAGATGGAGAACAACTCTTTGCTTGGGCAGAGAATGACAGGACGAGGGAGAATGGCTTTAAATTAAAAGATGGTAGATTTAGATTAGATGTTAGGAGGAAATTCTTCACTCTGTAAGTGGTGAGGCAGTGGACCCGGTTGCTTAGAGAAACTGTGGTTGTCCCATCCCTCAAAGTGTTCAAGACCAGGTTGGATGAGGCCCTGGGCAACCTGATCTAGTGGGAGGTGTCCCTACTCCTGGGGGGGGGGGGGGGGTAGGAACTAGATGACCTTTAAGGTCCCTTCCAACCCGAGCTGTTATATGGTTCTCTGATTTCCTTACTGGCTCCAGACAAAACATTTAAATGGCCAGCTGAGAGGGTGGTACCATTCAGATGATTAGTTGTAAATGTTGTTCCTTTCTCCCTTTGAAAGAGAACATCTTCTAGGACATCTCCAAGGATAGATAGACCATGCTCCACAGACTGATTTCCACGGTATTGTCAGGGGCAGTGCAGGTGCAATAAGGCTGCAGGAGCTAGGTCTGTATTCCTTTTCCTTGTGCTCCTGCTGCAGGTTTCAGTGCCTGACTTAGGGTGCCTCTTTTGTGACACTAGCTGTGTGTTTTGAGGAAACTCATGCAACCTCAGAGAGATTTAATTGCCCTCCCATGTGCCTTTTTTTTAACCTTACCTTACTGCTAATAAGACAGTGATGTTTCCCTCCTATCAGACCATTTCCTCTCCTCCCAGCTTCTCACATGAAATTAATGTGGGGTCAATGCCATCTTTTGAATAAATAGATGTTATGCAGCAGGGAACAAAAGTTGAAATCCAAGGCTGAAAGAACATGATGCAGATATTCTTACAGGTTTTTAAAGTTGCTGCAAATACACATGCTTTGGTTAGAAGAGAGAAAAGACAGATCAGTTAAGAAAGGGAATAAGAAAAGACCTTTTCTGTTTGCCTTTTGGTTTTAAGAAGGATTCTGGGATATTAGAGCACCTGCTTCTTATGAATTTGACGCTGATGGGCAAAGTCTATGTGGTAAGACGGACTACTCTATCAGTCTGTAAAGTAGCTACACTATAAGCTAGAGCAATATAAATTAAAATGAACTTGCTCTATACCATACCAAGGTTTCACTGATAAAGTCTAGAAGATTCATATAAATGCTATTGAGAGGGAGTTGATTCAGTTTCTTATCTCTTTGCATTCATTATTTTATTGTGCAGAGAGATTTTTTTAAACATGTATGTATACATACAATTACCTCTTCCCCTCCCGAGAATAGGCTCTTTTTTCAGAAAGCCATTAATATGGAGCTTATGTAGGGATATATTTAGAAAAACAATGTAGTGGGAAACCTAGGAATTAAGATGAACACGTGGGAAAGCCTGAAGGGCAGAAGGGAGAGAGAATTGATGGCTTTGGGGGGGTATGTGTTTTTTAGCAGGAAGCTGAAGATTCTTCAAACACAACTTTGGAGGGTTGTGAGGGAGCCAAAGACCCTGGCATTGTGGAATTTACAGAAGCTGAATCTGGAGCATCCTTGGAAGATGAAACCAGGCCTGGGGGCTACCACTGCAGCCAGTGTGACCGGGTTTTGATGTCTATGCAGGGTCTGCGATCTCACGAGAGGAGTCACTTGGCTCTGGCCATGTTTACCCGGGAAGACAAGTACAGCTGCCAGTATTGCTCCTTTGTCTCTGCTTTCAGGCACAAGTAAGTTCTGGCTTTTATTTTTGTTTTCAAAAGAAGCACAGATTAGCACTACTGTTCTATAGGTTGACAGTGAAGAGGAGTACACTTAACTTGATTTTGAGCAACCATTTTCTCAGCATTTAGGTATCTTATGTGCTGCAAACCCTTTAGCCATCATTATTTGTAACTGCTTCTAAAACGTCACATCTTTATATCTTCTTGAATTTATTTAAGCCCCTTTTTGTTGCATGTAGGGGAAAAAGCATGCAATCCAAATAATATGACTCTTTTCAGTAGGTAAACATTGAAGCTTACCACTTATGAAGCCATGTCAAATGTATGAGACCTAACAGGTCAAGAAGAGGAGAGAAGTATTTTTCTTTTTAATTGTTAATACGCCGTGAACTTCTGCTGCACACAATTACACGTTTGTAACTACTACAAATCCTTGATCATTGTGTTTTCATATCTAATGTTAAATAGCTATCATAAGATTCCTTAAAAATAGATTTTTTTTCCTTAATCATGGTGTGCAATTTCACTCTAAAATATTTCAGTTTCACACCAGCATGGTACACTTATGATTCCATCAGTTGTTTTCTTGTCTCATGCAGCATGTGAAAAATTTGTCATCAAAAATAGTCGGAATTCTTACGATTTTGTTCCTACAGGTTGAGTTCGCCATTAGATGGGTAGTTTTTAAAATTCTTACCATCATATACACACGTACATATATATACACACACACAACAAATATATGTATATATAAACCTTCCCCCAAAAATGGAGCATGTTGGACTGACACACACAGTTTTCTGTGTGACATGTATCATATGTGACACACATTTTTCTAGTTTCTTGGTAAAGAGCTGCTCCTTTACCATTTTAACAAAAGAAGAGATGATTCACATGCTCATTCAACATAGACATTTTGTAGCACTATCAATAGCACTCTCAAATTTGTTGAATGTGTTGCTGTTTTGCCTTTAAATGTATGTGGGAGACAAGCACAATACAAAATGTTTTTATACTCCTTACATTGGAAACCAAGTTTTCTACTAGTGTCATGACAAACTGATGCTACAGTTTGGTGTGCCATGTTAGAAAGATCCATAGGGTGGAGGAAGCATGGATACTACTGTGGAAGCATGGATACTACACCACCCATCTTTGTTAAGGCCGACAATGGGGATGTCCTGACCTCTCTTGGCTCACAAAGCCAAGCCTGCTGTTTGCCTAGTAAATTGGTTTGCTTCCAAGATCAGACTTGTGTTGAGTTTTGTCTCTGGTTACTCTGTTTTCTACCTAGGAAATGAATAAAGTATTATCCTACAAGTAGAAGGATTGGTAAGTCAGAAAGTAGTGAATAGCAGCAAAGAACACTACAGTTACCACCTAGTTTGATAATAGGTGCTGTTGCTATTGTTGAGGTGGTCTGCTTTATCTTTTATTTTTGATCCTGATGCAACTGTTGTCTTGAGAGATTAAGTTTATGAAAGAAACCCAACCAGTGTTTAATTGACACACTGTTCTCCTGAATCTTACCAAAACTTAAAAACCTGCCCTTGGAAGAATTGTGCTGGCAACATATGTGGTCATGAATACAGTTTTAAGTATTATAATGTTGAACATCTTAAGGTATGTATTTTAGAATAGCTTAGACATGTGTTATACACATCTTTGACAGTGTGCTTTAATTGTTCAGCAAGCTCATTGCCTATCAGCTGTTTAAAACATGTTTTAATATTTGCTACAAGTATTTACTGCAAGCATTCAGTATCTTACTATTTGAGAGATTTCATGGAATCATTTAGGTTGGAAAAGACCTCTAAGATCAAGTCCAACCTTTAACCTAGCACTGTCAAGTCTGCAATTAAACCATGTCCCTAAGCACCACATCTGCGTGACTTTTAAATGCCTCCAGGGATGGTGACTCAACCACTTCCCTGGCAGCCTGTTTGAATGCTTCACAACCCTTTCAGTGAAGAAACTTTTCCTAATATCCAACCCAAATCTTCCCTGACAACTCTGAGGCCATTTCTTCTTGTCCTACTGCTTGTTGCTTGGGAGAAGAGACCAACCCCCACCTCACTACAGCCTCCTTTAAGGTAGCTGTAGAGAGTGATAAGGTCTCCCCTGAGCCTTCTTTTCTTTAGGTTGAGTAACCCCAGTTCTCATAAGGCATGTTCTCTAGACCCTTCATCAGCTTTGTTGCCCTTCGTTGGACATGCTCCAGCACCTCAATGTCTTTCTTGTAGTGAGGGACCCAAAACTGAATGCACTATTCAAGCTGCAGCCTCACCAAAGCCAAGTACAGAGGAACAATCACTTACCTAGTCCTTCTGGCCATGCTACTTCTGACACAAGCCAGGATGCTGCTGGCCTTGGCCACCAGAGCTGGCTTGTATTCAGCTGGCTATCAACCGATAGCTCCAGACCCTTTTCCACTGGCCAGCTTTCCAGCCACTCTTCACCCAGCCTGTGGTGTCGGATGGGGTTGTTGTGCCCCAAATACATGACCTGGCACTTGGCCTTGTTGAACTTCATACAGTTGGCCTTGGCCCATTGATCCAGCCTATCCAGATCCCTCTGTAGAGCCTTCCTACCCTCAAGCTGTTTAACACTCCCTCCTAACTTGGTGTCATCTGTGAAATTACAAAGGGTGCACTTGATCCATTTGTCTAGATCATTGATAAACATATTAAAAAGAACTGGCCCCAGTACTGAGCCTTGGCGGACACCACTTGTGACCAGCTGCCAACTGGATTTAACTCCACTTACAACTCTTTGGACCCAGCCAGTTTTTCACTCAGCAGAGCATATGCCTATCCAAGCCATGAGCAGCCAGTTTCTCCGGGAGAATGCTGTGGGAAACAGGGTCAAAAGCTTTCCTGAGGTCTATGTAGACAACATCCACAGCATTTCTCTCATTTACTAAGCAGGTCACCTTGTGACAGAACGAGATCAGGTTAGCCACAGTTTCATAAACCACTGCTGACTGGGCCTGATCACCTGGTTATCCTGTGTGTGCCATATGATGGCAGTCAGGATGATCTACTCCATAATCTTTGCTGGCACTGAGGTCAGACTGACAGACCAGTACATTCACTGGATTCTCCTTCGAGCCTTTCCTGGAGTTTTGCATCACACTTGCTTCCTCCATCCAACTGGCATCTCCCAGGCTAGCCAGGACTGCTGATAAATGATGGAAAGTGGCTGGGTGAACACTTTTTCCAGCTCCCTCATTACCCTCGGGTGATGCCATTTGGCCCCATAGACTTGTATGTGTCTAAGATGTGTAGCAGGTCACTAACCATTTTGTCTTGGATTACGGGGGCTTCATTCTGCTTCCTATCCCTATCTTCCAGCTCAGGGGTATGGGAACCCCTTTGCACTTAAGACTTACATTTTCAAGAGTGTCCAGCCTTCCTGGACACCTTTGCCCTTCAGGACTGCCTCCCAAGGGACTTCACCGACCACTCTTCTAAGCAGGCTAAAGTCTGCACTCTGGAAGTCCAGGGTGGCAGTTCCACTAACCTCCTTCTTTACTTTTCCAAGAATTGAAAACTATCATTTTGTGATCACTATGCCCAAGACAGCCTCCAGCCTTCACATCACCCTCAAGTCCTTCTTTGTGCACAAGCAAATTGTACAGTAGGGCGCCGTCCCTTGTTGGCTCACTCATCAGCTGAGTCAGGAAGTTATCTTCCATGCACTCCAGGAGCTTCGTCAGCCTGGTTGGATGGTCTTTAACAGAAATCCACCATGACATCTGCCTTGTTGGCCTTCCCCCTGATTTTTACCCATAAGCACTCAACTCTGTTTTCACCATCATGAAGCTCAAGACAGTCAAACCACTCCCTAACATACAGGGCTCACCACTGACTCTCCTTTTAGCATCAGAAGAATTTATAGCCATTCTTTGCAGCACTCCAGTCATCCCACCATATTTCTGTGATGGCAACTATATTCGTTTTCCTGCTGCACAGTGGCTTCCAGTTCTTCCTGTTTGTTGCTCATGTTGTGTTCATTGGTGTAGATGCACTTCAATTGGGCTACTGATTCTGTCACCTTTTGGGGGGAAGAAGTTTTAATTACTACATGACCATTCTCAGGCACTTCAGTGATGTCACCCATCAACAATATCTCTTGTGCCTTTTCTGTCACATGGCTCTCCATCCCCTAACATTGCTGGGATGGCAGACCATAGGACCTTGCTAGCACACTGTCCCACAACCACTGGTATGTTGACCTCAGACTTGTCTCTAGTGAGCCTGGTTTTATCCATTTCCCCCTTCAAATCTACTTTAAATCTCCCTCAGTGAACTTTGGTAACTCCTGTGCAAAAATTCTTTTCCCCCTTTGAGATGGGTGTACCCCATCTGTTGCCAGCAGACCTGGTATCCTGTACAACAACCCATGATCCAAAGTCCTGCCAGTGATACGAGGCTCATAGCCAGGTATTGACCTGCTGATTCTTCCTGTTTCTCCCCTCATCATTCCCTGCAACTGGAGGGGTAGGGGAGAATGCTACTTGTGCTCCTGATCCCTTAACCAGTTGGCACAAGGCTCTGAAGTCTCTCTTGATTGCCCTTAGACTTTGAAACTTCAGTGCTACTAGCCTGAAAAATCAATAATGGATAATAACCTGAGGGCTGCATCAGACAGAGTAGGAAGCTTTGTCTTCACATCTTTAATTGGGGTCCCAATGAAGCAGCAGATGTCCCTAAGAAGTGGGTCCAGTCTGCATATTGAGACATTTTTTCCTATTTCCCTGGAAAAGCTGTACAGTTTGTCATGCTGCAAACTTCATCCTGGGTTTGTTTGATTTTTTTTTATTTGAAGTGGCCCTGAGAGGGACATAAGTTTATTTCTAATTTTTTTTTTCCAACCATCAGATTTTTGAAGACACAGACTTTAGTGTTAGGTCTTGTAAACAGGGATGTTCTGGTTTAAGCTCTGTCAGTGTGGGACTCAAGATCCCATGACAATCTGTGTAGTGAAAGAGGGCTGGAACAGCCTGCGCTTGATTCCATGTTGATGTTCAGTAAAGCAGAACGTGATGATTTAGGTAAAACAAGGAAATAAGCCTAAAATATGTTTAGAATAAGGTGGCAAGTGGGGGACAGTTCTGTCAAATTACTACTCCTACAGCTCTCTCTAACTACCTTGTTGTTCCATTGCCATGTGTAAGGAGACTCAAGCGAAAACTAGATCACAAAACATGAATGTTTCCAGGGAAGAGGCTGTACTAGAAATGTTTACAACACAAGCTGAAGCTACTTGCCTACCACCTGGAGACTGTGAACTCTTGACTGTGAGACACAGCATAGAAACTGCAGAGCTCTGCAGGACTTTAGAATGAATTTGATCTTTTATTAAAGACTGTGGAAATGTCCTTTTTCTTTCTTTCTTTCTTTCTTTTTTTTTTCCCCCCATCTAAATTTTACTGAACTGTTAAAAGAAGCTGTGGAGAGAGAGCAGGTGAGCAGGTTCTGATCACACCCTGGTTATCAAGCTGTCAGTAGCTTCCAGTTTCCCTGAAGAAAGTAGAGGCTGGTCTTAGCCACCCCTTCTTCTCTTGTTGAGCTTTGTGCAGCATATCCCACTCTGTTCTGCCTGAAACTCTGTTGCCTTTTAATCCTGGAACTCATCAACTGCAGCCTGCTGGCACCCTCCCCAGAGCAGGATCTCTAATCTGCTTTTGCTGCTGTAACCAAAAGGCTTCCTCATTAAAGCTGGTCAAAAATATCTTTTTTTTTTCTTTTTTTTCTCTCTCTCTTTTTTTTTTTCTTCTTTTTTTTTTTTCTTTTTTTTTTTTTTTTTTTTTCAAGAGGACAAAGGGGGGTGTACTTCCACAAAAATGTTTCCAAGGAAAAATATTCTGTAATGATAATTCTACTGTTTTCATCTGCTACTTGTTTCTTTCAACTGTTCCTTGAAGTCTAAATCAGGTATAATTTAATTTATACTAATTTTGCACTAGAAGTTATTTAAGAGGCTTGCTTTCTGCATAACAGAATTGGTGTCAGCTCTGCTCCTTTTCCTCAAATTAGATTCTACTTTATCTGTAGGTAGACCTGTTGAATTTAAAGAGATTGTATGAGAAACTGTAATTGAGCCTGGTTTGGCTCTTATTTAATTATTGCTGTAACTGTTTTGCCTTGCATCTGAAGGAATAGTTGAAATTATTTACCTTTTTGTGTTTCCCTTTTTTGCCTTTCTCTTTTCAAGTCTGGATCGTCACATGCAGACCCATCATGGACATCATAAGCCGTTCCGTTGCAAGTTGTGCCCATTCAAGTCCTCATATAATAGCCGCCTGAAAACCCATATACTCAAGGCTCATGCTGGTAAGTTTTCTCTCCCAGTTTTGCAGTGCAGCAGCAGAAATGGCCCATGTATTCTTGTTGCTGATGAGAAATGCTGGTTCGAGTCACGTGTTTTGTCACCAGATTTGGGTAAGATTTCAACAGCAAGTCAGGATTGGCCAACCTGTGCACCTATTGGAATCAGTAGAAATTTGGATAACATTTTCAGAAAGAAAAAAATTATAAAACTGTGATGAGTACTTCTAGAAATTTTTCCTTTTCTTCTGGTTTCATTTTTGTAAATTATTTGTTCTTATTATGCCTGCTTGTTTCCAGGAAAATCTAGTCAGCTTATACCACTGTCTCAACTTTGCTCTATTATGTTTGTATTTATGTTTGTGTTTTAAGTGGGAAAACAGTTGTGAACTGAATCTTGGTTTTCATGGATTCTTAAGCTGGCTTTCATGGTAAAGCCAAACACTGGAAGTTTTGGGATTCAAGTCTGTGTTCAGCAGACTGAGAACATCATCATTCCATTATTGCACATGGAAATTTATCTTGGAGTTCTCTGTATTGCAGTACAGAATCTGTACAAGTGAGCATGCAAACGTGCTTCTATTAAACAAGAACTGGGAAGGTGATATATCATACAGGATAGGTCACCACAGAGTATTGCACATGTGATTGTTAAAAAACTTGATCCTCAAAATATCCTGGTAGGTGTCTTGTCTTCACTCCATGGCCCTAGGTTCTTGGCAGTGTCATGCATCATGCATTGAAAAGTTATCAGAAAACTGGAGGCAAGAACCGCTGTTTCTGTCTGCAATTGTTGCATCTTCCTGGATGACAGACAAAAAAATGAACCCCAAACCACTGTCCAGACATCCACTCTGATACATATGATATACTATTGGCTGATCTAAAAGACTGCAAAGTAGATCAGTTGTTTCCAACTCACATGCAGAAGCTACTGGCACAGATAACAAGGGTCTAGAAGTACATTTCTTTATTATTTGTTCACATCATGTTATATTCAAGATGGTATGGAGGAGGAAGATGTGAAAATGGGGAGAAGAGATAAGAGGAATTCATAACTGTCTGATAATTTTTAATAAAGGTAATTTTCACCCTTGATCCAAGACACTTTTTGTCTACAAAATGTAGGAGGGATTGTTGGTCTTTCTTGTACTCCATTTCCTACACTGGTTTCAGATCTCACAGAGCTTCTGCCAGGACCCTTCTCTGTACTTGGATGGGTGTTGTGGATTAGCTTGTCTGTTGCCAACCTCATGCTGTATATGACTATGGCATTCTCTGCTTCCAAGGCAGTCCAACTACATGCAGCAGTTTCAGTTTATAGAATCCCACATCCTGTACAGAGATGACATATTTCTTCATCTTCCCCAACCATAAAATGTTTTCTCTACGCTATTGTAAAGCTGGGCTTCTTTGTGTTACCGTGTTCAAACCTGCCAGATTTTTAGATCTGAAGTTTGCATGCAACTGATATTTACTTCACACTCCTCTTCATGTAGGTTATTGATTTACTTAGTATGAATTCATGCTATTGAACTTGATTAGTGGACACTCCTCGAAGGGCCATGTTTTGCATCATACAAGAACACAATTTCATGGTTGCCTAGATAGTGTTTTGCACAATGATTTGTGTAATAGGGTTTTCAGAGGCTTATGATCTGTTTCTGCCTCAGTCCATTTCTACCAAATTTTCACATCACAGAAAATTGCTCAGATGTTTTTCAGTCAGAGATTTGCTTTGTTGTGTATTGAGTCAGTCCTTCAGAAATATATGATAGTGAATAAACATTCGATGAAGACTTCTCCTCAGACTCCCCCAGTTTTTCAGTGACACAGTGGTTCTCTGAACCTCTTTTGTTAACATTTTTTCTCTGTTGTCAATCTTCTCATTATCAGTTTGTTTAGAAGTAGAAATTTCGTGCCCCTTTATTCATTTATCTAGTCTCCTGGAGATCTTTTAAAATTCACTAAAATCCCAGATCCTGAAGTGGAAGAGTATTGGCCCTGTTTACATTCTACATAATCTGAAACGTAATGCTCCAAGTATATATCAAGTGCTGAGAGTACTCTCCCCTACTGCCCCCTGAAAATTTTAGATGTATGTATTTGTATGTATATTTATACAATCTTTTTTATGAAATGCAAAACCGGCAGTTGAAAACATGCAAAGTTTTATGTTGAGTCAAACTGTAGTCTTGCCTCTAGAAGCTACTACATCCTTTCATGTTGAAGTCTACCTGAACTCTTATTGATGGATAGCGCATATATTTGTTAGTTGTGTCCAGCCTTCTTAATATGTAATCGTCGTCTTTCCTTGAATGTCTTGTGATGCTTATAAATTCATGGTTGGTGCCTACCATTGTCCGGCAATTTCTTAAACTGTGAAGGTTTATATCTGAATCTTGCTGGTATCTTATACTTTGGGAGTTTCTTGTGGCATTGCATTCTTGTGTTCCATTAAGCAGCTTGTTGTACATGCTATCCAAAAAGTGCTTTATTTCTGCTTGTATAAAGGTAATACATAACTGATGTAATATGCAGGTGAGAAATACCATTTGAAGAAATGGGACAATTTCTTGTTTTACTTCTTCAGAGTCCGTGATCTATTTTCAGATGTACCAAAAGAGTCTTTTTAAGTTTATGTTTTGTCCCCATGATTAGCATAGTTTTTCAGAAGGAGAGGGTTGGGAGTTATTTTTTTTTGTAAGATGGTTGCTGATTTTTTCAGGTGTGCTTATTCTGACTTGTTGTAATATGCATGTTTACACATGCTGTTTTGGTTCATGTATTTGTGGTGTTGGAAATGATGCTATTTGAGAATCCTATTTGCTAAATTTGAGAGATGGAAAACATTTTCTGCCTTGTTCATTACCAGAGCCCTTGGTCTGCTGTACTGTTCATGAATATTTTACTCCAATATGAGTTGTGGCTCTTTATATACAGCTCATATGTGGCCAGTGTACATGGAAGTGGTACTTCCAAAACAACAACTTGGCACTGTTACTATCACATTGTTTGTGTTGGGAGAGTTTCACTTTGTGTTCCAATTGCCTCCATGCTTAATGCAAAACAAATCTTATATCAAGATTTGTTTCCCCTTGTTTGCTGTCTCTGTAGCTTGGAATGTATTCAAAATTAAGTTCACTACTGTTCATTACTTCTTTTCTTTCACTTCTTTTAGTGCTTTCTCATAACACACATAGCCCTACAGATATGCGCTGTTCTTGGTATTGCCATGTTCACTTCTTGTTGTAAAACAACTTTGACTTTGTTACCAGTTCTGTGGAGATTATTCCTGCCTAATGGGAAATTTTTGATAAGGAGAAAATGTAATTTTTTTTTTTTTGTTTTGCTTTGTTCATTTGTTTGTTTGTCTTTGGTTTTCTGAGGAACCTTTGATATCATTTTGTAGTATCCTTCTTTCTTCTTTAATAATGATGCTGAACGTGCTGCATGCAGAAACAAGTGATTTCACTCTCTATAGCTGCTGTGCTCCCAAAGAAGTTTGGAAAGCTATAGTTAAGTGACTCCATTTTCATCTCAGAGTCTGTTTTCTTCTCATACCATGCAACACAGGCATGCTAATAGTCTGGTCTCTGTTTTTTTGACATCAGTCACTTTACAAGGATCTGCAGTTGTCCAAAAGCAATACTTTGTTCCAAAGCAGGTGTCTGTACCCACAGACTTCAGGCTGTTCCAACGAGGAGGTGCACGTAGCTTGTTCTCTTTGGGATCAATCTAGTGCTGAAGGAATCCATGGGAACTTTACTTCCAAGTTCAATAGGAGAAGTATGGGGACCCCATTTTGTTTCTTTTGTGAGCTGATGACTTGCCTGTATTTCGCTCACCCAGGTGAACATGCCTACAAATGTTCCTCCTGCTCATTTTCCACCATGACAATCAGCCAGCTGAAAGAGCACTCCTTGAAAGTGCATGGGAAAGCACTGACACTACCAAGACCCCGCATTGTCAACCTTGCAGCCTCACACGCCCACCACACCTCCAAGAACCACACTCCTGCTGAAGAAGTGGAGGACTCTAATGGTAAGAGGTGCCTCAGAGCAAGAATTTAATTTTCTAAGGTGCCACTTAATATATTGATTACAAAAAAGAAAAAAAAAAAAGGAAAAAAAAAGAAAGAAAACCAGCAGGCAGCTTGTCCAAAAGCAACTTCATTTGATTATTAATAAAAATCTGAAGTTGCATCAAAACCAAGAATAAACGTGGTGTTTTGGGTCATGACCTTCACCAGTGCATACCTCATTAACTTGTCCTGTCACCAGTTGACTTTGGAATATGTCAGTGCTGGCTTTACTTCTTAGGAAAGATTTAAGTTGCAGAAAATTTTCAAATGTAGAACTCCTATTGATAACCAGTGGGAAAGGAATCATCTAATTCCATCCATGCACCTGAAAAACAGCCCTTTGTCCTGTTGGAGAACTTCAATGAAACCATATGATTAAGCTTAAAATGCAGACCTGTAGCGATAATAAAAGCTATTATTCTTGCTCTTGCTACAGAGGACACAAACAGTACCTCCAGATACTAGGCTGCATCTGCAAGAGTGAGAAACTGTTTCTTTCCTACACTTTTCTTCAAACCTGTTGATCACCTAGTGCTAGGGAAGTACATAGAAGATATTTAGAAAGCAGGAGAGGAAGGGCGCTGTGAACAGAGAAAAGAGGCTTCTAGAAAAAAAAATGTTGTGTGGTATCATAGAAAGTGTTAAGACTTTTTAATGGGTAGCTTAAGAGGCAAGTTTTGGGTGTCACTTCCTTGCAATCAAGAGAATTGGTCTTTGGGCAAAAAAAATGTTGATTCCTACATGAGTTGCGTTAAATGGGTAGAGAATGTAGGTGAATATAAAGAAAAGTTTGAGATCTGCAGATGTTCAGGGAACTGGCATGAGAGGTATTAGAAAAGGAGGGAAAAATCCAGAAGTTTGCCAGGTTCTTGATGGATTTGTTTGTGTTTGTTTTGTTTCTTGGTAAAAACCTTTTTTTTTTTTTTTTTTTTTCCTTTTTTCCTTCATTACTGGCAAAATGGGGGGGGATGTTCTGAATACTATCAGTAGTCATTTTGTAGCATTTCTGGTCTCCCATCTTCCTTTCTTTCATTTCTCTCCTGAAAAAAAAAAAAGTGTGAAATGATAAATCGAAAGATAAGAAGAAAGTTCAGAAAACGGCAGAAAGGAATTTAAAGAAAAAAAATAATTGGCATAGAAACACTTAGTTGAAGAAAAAGAGAGAAGTGAATAATATTTTTGTGGTTAAGCAAGTCACTTCTGGGGTCAGAATCAGAATCTTTATCAAACGATTTTGACCAGCTGCTCTCAGACTGCCTTTTGTAAAAGGGTTGTCTGGAACAGTATGATGGAGACTTACTAACTGAGCTTTTATTTTTGCTAATGCTAGCTTAAGCTAATCCAACAAGCAGAGTACATCTTGTGATTGTATTCTGCTTTTTAATTGCTAAAAAAAAAAAAAAAAATCAGCTGCTGACTTTCAAGAAGTAGGGAATAATTTTTAGTGGCTGTCCTACTCTTCACTGTGTATTAGCAATCTTTTAATAGTAATAATGGTGTTGAGACATACAGAAGGACAGTATTTGAATTTGGGAAAAATGGTACACTTACACCTTTTTTGCTTATCCCATAGCTCAAAGTCATGATTAGTGAAGTTAAAAATTTCAAGTGCAGAAGTCAAAAATTCAAGTAAAGAATATGATTTTATAATCTTTAATATAAATTCTTCCTAAAGTAAATAAAAGAAGATGAATCTGTTAACAAAAACACCTTATGAGGTTGACTTAGTTACCTAGATTTGTATTGCAGCCAGAGACCAAGGCAGAATTTGTCCCAATTAGCTTGATCATCTTTAAACAGGGTTAGTGGTTAAGTCACTTTGACAATAATAGAAGCCACCCACTGGGGAGCTAGTCATATGAGTACAGGTGTTATAATAATAGTGTTAACATTTTCAGCATTGTTTGAGGAAGGAATAACCTGATTTAATTATTTTTTTTTTTTTCATTAGGAAGTTGGCTGTAGATCAAGGTAATGGCAAAGGCTCTTATGACATCATTTATTTTTGGTTTTTAAAAGGGAATAAAACAAGTTGTCTGTGACCTAGGCCTGCAAATTGCAGGTGATACATAAAGCTACATAAAAGACTGGTCCCAATAATTGGAAATGCATGTCTATGTCAGAGGTTCTGTTATGTCCTGTTGGAGCCAATAAGAGGGGCTCATACAAGGCGTAGTTGGATTTTGATTGTTTTTCTGTGTATAAATAATCTACACGTGGGCTCTGATCAAGTTAATTCACTTGGGATACAAAATTGAATTAGGGATGGGGTGAGTGACTGTCAAAATGCTGCCTCATATTGTTATGGACTTGTTTTGTAGGCTGGAAGGCATACAGCATACAGTATAATTGAAATGGCTGCAGAAAAGTTTTGTTTTTGTCTTTGGATTAATATCATAGTTGGAAGAAGGTAGGGAGCTGGATGGCTTGTGGAGATTTGAGGGTATAACAGAATTCCTCTCGTCCATTGCTGAGCATTATAAAAATGGAGAAAAGGAAAAAGGGTACCTAAATTGTAATAGCAGAGTGCATGTCTGAATAGAACTGTTCTGGGACAAGAGCACAGTGGATCTTCTGCTGATACTTTTTTTTTTTTTTTTGTGCAGAAATTGCTCCCTAAGGGGCCTTTCTTAGAACATTTCTTTTGTTCTGCTAGATTGATCCATTCATTAAAAGTTGCAAATATATTTGAATTTGTGTGACTCAGTTCTATGTGGGTAGCAGCAAGCATATCCGAAGTGTTCAACTGTATATCCTGGATGTGTTTTGGGTGCTTGATGTACTTTCTGCGGAAGTGAAGTTTAAGGAGGGTAGATACTGAAAGGTTGAGGCAGGTCATCACTGGCAACTACATTGTCCTTAGAAAGCATAACAGCCACTTTAATGCTTGTATGCTTCTCTCAGGGCAGTAGTGTAAGAAGGTGTTTGCGTCCATCTCAGCAAAGAGTCAGCAGTGCAGGCTTTCTTATAGTCATTGGTGGTTTTGTTTTGTTTTTAATGCTGTTCTTTGTACCCTACTTGCATGTTGTGTGATTTTTAGATATGTAAGGAACCGGTTTTTATTGTATCCTAATCTAACTAGATGTAAAACATTTTTTTTTTCAAATGAGAGACACAAAAGATCAACAAGTGTTGATCACCTCTGCAACTTCTCTCTATTTTGCATAACATAAGGGCATTGAGTAGTTTGTGGTGTCCAACTCTTCTTAAAATGATAAGATTGCTGTTGTGGTAAATTGTTCTTTTGCACTCCTGATAATTTACAAGTATTTGTCTTCTTGCAAAAATAGGGATAGTGGTGTTGCGACTATTTGCTGTTGTGTGGTTATTCTTTTTTCTTCCTTATTTACTCTTTACACTGACTTAGCAGTTACACTGTGGCTTAACAGTTTTGCTGTCTTACACAGTAAAAATTAAAAGTGTATATTGAAAGACTTCAAACTGTTAGTAGGAGTAGTGGATGAATTACCTACCAAGATTTGTGTGTTCTTTCACAGTCCTTTTGAGAAGCAGAACTTAAATTTGTATTACTCTCAGTCCAGAAGGATTGTATGGCTTTATTAATGGTACTATCATGTTGTGGCAATATGTATCAAAGATAAGGGTTTCCAGTACTGCAGTGTGAAGAGTTAGCTCTGTTGACTTGGGTGTGGGGCAATGGATTCCCAGGGTCTGTATGTTCAAGTCATAATATTAAAAGACCACTGTCACTTTCAGTAAGAAAGAGTTGAAAGCAAGTCAAGCACAAAAATCGTGTGACTGAACACAAGAAAACAGAGGAACAAGTATTACCTGCAATGTGATCATCAGCTAAGGAGAAAGCATACGTGGAGAGGCACTGCTTGTATAAGCACCGAGGTTATGCATGTTTGCTTGTATTCAAGAGCTGTGGAGGTGGTGGACTGCCTTCCTTGTATAAACTGGAGAAATCCATGAATGTAGCCAATTGTCTTAAAGCCATAAAGCAAAACGACTCAAAAGATGGATAAATGGTTTCACATTATTACTTCACCCTTAAGCAAAAGCTTGTTGGGAATTTATAAAATACTTGCTCTAAATTGCCCTGGCTAATACTGTTGCTTTTTTGAGTAGCTCTTTAAAAAGCAACAAAACAAAACCCTCTGGCCTAACTGTGTTGTAGAGCAGAGTACCACTCTATATTCATATGGCTAGCAGACTTGGAGCCTCATAAATTTATTTGTATCACAACTGTGTGCAGTAATTCAAAAATAATAGTTTTTTAATTTTACTGATTAAGGATAATGAATTGCAGGAATAACACAGTACTAAGTGCAAGTGATAAACTAAACAGATCTGGATGTGGCTTCCAGTGTCTTCTCAGTCATGCTGCCATTGCACAAGATCATTCCTTTTTAGTGGTAAGCAGCTCTTGAAATGTAGAAAGCAGCACCGTTCATGTCTGCCCTTGAAGCTCAATAGTCACAGTTTTCACTATTATGCAAACCAAACAGTATCTATCATTAATAACAGCACACATCACAAAACACATGCAGAGTCAGCGTTAGAAGATTTTTTAAAATTTCCCAGTGCATGCTATGTCAACATCTTCATTACATTTAATTAAATGGAGCACTGACTGCATGAACTGCTAAGTGAAACACCCATTACCCTGTTCCAGCTTTTTCTGAACTTTAGCCTTTGCCAGTGGAAAAGAACTTTGTCTCATCTAGAAACTGGAATTTAAATACACCTGCATGCTTTGCCAGAGCTAAGTAGGGTACAAAAGGGGTTGACTAAGTAGTGTCTCTGGGACTGTTGTTTAAGAACTGTAAATCCCTTCCTATTCCTGTACACTTTTTCAAAATATGTAACACAAAATCAGGGTGTGTTTCTTCTATGCTGCTTGTCAGAGGAAATCTTGAAGGGTGCAGAGGATCTTTAGCAGGTTTGCTGCAGCAATTTCACATACTGCCAGAATAAGAGGAGACCTGTGTGGAAG